AATCAGTGGAATCCCCATGAGGTCCTGTGTGGTCCCAGACCACCAGAGAGCACAGTGTTTGGATGAAACCCATTGCAGTAAAAAGTGAGGCTGAAAGTAAGTGATTCCAAGTGGCTCATTTAAGGCCCCTCTGCTCCCATATCACCAGTGCCTCTGACAGCAGATGCCTTTCAAAATACGGTATTTCATAATATTCTATTTTAACAACTGATCCAAAATATAAAAGGTGCCATTTTTTTGGCTAAAGAAAAATCCTTGCATAATATTTCCTAGTTTCTTCAAATTATTTAATACTAGACAGTATTGCACAGACATGATTCTGTTCTATGTATTACCAGCAAACATCTGTGATAATGAGGTTCCTCACTGATTTCCTATAACAGATAAAGCAAGGTGAAACTCCCACCATTCTTCATGATGAGGACTGAACAGAACTGCAGCTATTTCTGAGTTCTCAGAACATCTACTACAAACCAATTATTTGCCTGGTTTTTGTTGTTGTTTTGCATGTGATCAAAGGACATAAAATGGTTAAGGAGAGATCTACCCAGCACCTTTGGGAAGCCAAGGCCAGAGTGCTCTCATGATTTATAATGCCATCTATTCAAACCAAATCAATGCTCTTGAAACTAGTTCTCAGTCCTTGTTCCTTTATTGCACAATACTTTCTGGCTTCAGCTTCTTGTCTTTATCCTTGTCTAAATGCCAAAATCTAGGGTTCACACTAAATGCCCTGAAATGAAAGAACACCAAATGAATATTGGTATATCCCCACAACAAAATCTTGTGGCCATTAGAAGACTATTTCAATGCAATATACAATATACATCTTTCTCAGTCTTGCCACAACCCTGATGTAAATCCTGTATTACAACAGTGGCACTATGCAGTATTTGTCCTTTTTGACTGAGATATTTCACTCAACATAATTATGTATACTGCATTGAAACAGATGAGGGAGAGAACTGTTTAAAATGCATATATGATTAGGTATTATTGTCGGAACAGTAGTCCAGAATGAAGGCTGCATAGTGAAGTGGACTTGGGGGGAGGGATTGTATAACAATGAAATAATTTTTCTTTTACTTTTCAAAGAGAAGAGCAAACTGGAGGGGAGGGAAGTTAGGCAGGGAGAAAAGTGCAACAACAAATGAATGGAAATCCAAAGTCTCTGTAAACTTTCATTAAAATGAAAAGAAAAAAAAAAAGAAGAAGAAGAAGAAGAAGACTATTCCCAGGTAAGCTCTGGTGAGATCCTTGCCTAATGGTAAGAATTTGTGCTGTCAACCCTAAGGCATTGTGGTTCAAATCCACTCACTGCTCTGTAGGACAAGTATGGGCAATCTCCTTCCTTGAGCTTTACTGCTTCTGGCAACCCAGTGTAGGGCCAGCTGTGAGTCAGGTCCAACTCCACAGCACAAAACAGCAATGATGTTAACTAACAAGGAAAAAAGAAGTAAGGGAAAAGGGAAAAATTTAAGTAGCAAAATATCAATTAGATAAATACATTCACCTGGGATGGGTGGGCAAGTTAGAAATATACCAAATATTCAACAATTTTTTTATTTATTTTTTTGGTGGTGGGACTATGACTAATTTATTTTCTGCGTAAGTAAGTTTTCCAAAGCTTGTATTGTAAGTATATATTGCCATTCTAATTGGAGAAACAGAAATAAACCAAAATATTGGCAGTCACCAGTACCTGAGATTAAATGTATGTGAAAAGATTAAACTGAAAAAGTGCATGTGGGGGGGTGTAAACAACAAGAAATAACAAATAGAATTACAGCCCTGAGAACTTACTGAGATAAGCACTTAGCTACAGGGTAGAAAGAGAGAAAATGAAGGGAATCTTCAACATTCACCACCAGAGAACCTGAGAACTTGGATCTATTCAGAAATCCCCCTCCTCCACATCCCCCTCAGTACAGGTCATGGGGTTGCTGATCCCGTCCAAGTACTTTGTCAGTACTATCAGAAACTGAACACAAAACACTGACCCCACTGGTCTATTCTTGTTTTCAGGTCAATTTAGAGTTTTATCTTCTTTCACTCAAATGGCATGCATAGGGTAACATATCTGTCTTGCTATCTCTTTTCTTTGGGGCACAAGGATAACTGGAAGAAAGAGTGTTGATTACAGAAACAGGACAACAAATGTTTTCAGGGTAAAGGGTCCTCAGAGGAGGAAAATAATGCACCTGAGAAGGAAGATTAACACTACAGCAGCAGAGCCCTAGCTCTATGGATAATAGGGAAGCAAGTCAAACAACTAGTACTCATCCTTAATACATTCTTGTTTTCATCTGCACGGACCAACTGAGTCCTCACCATCAGAGCAATATTGCCACACACAGAAAGATGAAGATGACAGAGGATTGCCTTAATAATAAAGAATAGGCTAAAGTAAATAAGTCAGATGCCAAACAACAAACACTGCATGATCCATTTGTGTGAAATATTGAGAAGAGGCAAATATGCAGATACACAAAGACAGATACTTATTAGTGGTCACAAGGCGCTCATGGGAGGGGAAGATGGGAGGTTATTATTTAAAAGGCTCTGAGCATCTATCTTGCAGGACAAACAGTTGGGACTGAACAGTGGTGTCCAGCAACATGGGAAAGGAAATGGATGTCACTGAACTTGACACTTAAGAACAGTTAAATCAGCTCAGGGCTTGTAAGGAAAGTTTTACCACGATGAAATGTTTTTCAGACAATGGAATGGAGAACTCATGCTAAGGTAATCAACAATGACTTAGACGTACATGAGCTGATGACGATAAGGCTTTTTGACTGAATTTCTTTCTCTCAGAAGGCTCTGGGAAAGCAGAGCGCTAAATCAGCTGACTCCCGGCTCAGCAGGAAAAAGAGTGGATTCGGGTGATTCTGAAAAATACTGTTCCAGCCTATTCATGGCTACACTGAGAGGTTTCAGAGCTTGTGTTTTTATAATAACTTTTAGCAAGTACTTAGAGAGCCCCTCTTACACATCTGTATCTGGAAAATGTGTGCATGTCTTGCATTTTGCATGCTAAGTGTTCTCAAAGTTTCCTTCCCATCTATGTCCCTACCTGAGATTATTAGTCTTATTTTACTTTGCAAGTGAAGGCAATGAGACAGGGAGAGGACACCAGCTTGCTCACACACACACACTAGTGGTCATACTGGACTCTGGCAAAGCAGCAAGCCTTCAGAAGCCACACTCAAACTACCTAGTAGCTAGCCACTTGCAGTAATTACCCCAAGGTGCCATGGACCCCAAGTGTGTCAGAGGAAAACTGTGCTCTGTAGGGTTTTTTCATGGCTGAGTTTACAGAAAAAGATCACAGGACTTTCTTCGGAGGAACCTGTTGATGACTCAAACCACCAACTTCTTTGTTAGCAGTTAAACGCTTAAGCATTAGTATGTACCCTGGTATATACTAAGCCATGCTACAGTGCAAACTGGCTCCCGCCCTCACACAGTCAATAACTTACTTAACCCATGAGCAAGAAAGGGGGGAAATCAGAACTTGCAGGGGATGCTGAGCACAGGAAGCTTCTGGAGATTTTGGGGGAAAGACTAATTTGGGGCTAAGGCAGAGAAGCAATACCAAGGTGTTCTTGAGAAATCATGTATGTTAGAGGCCAATGGGGACGCGAGGCTGGAATTAGGACCCTTGAGATGCTTCAGAGACAAGAGAAACACAGATTTAATAAGAAAGAAATAAAACACTTAATAGCCACCAAGAGGACAAAACTTAGGCGTAAAAAACTCCACTGGTAGAGAGGGCCAAGACCAGAAAAACTCAATGTTGAAACTTCTTGACAGAATATGCTTACGTGTGTGTATACACATGGCCATAGGCATCCTGTTTACATCTTCTTTATGCTATTTTAATAATTTGCCTTAGAAAAAGAATACAAATAGTAGATTCTTTCCATATTTCATCCTTCCTCTCAAAACTCAAATATCACTGCCTTTGAGTAAGAGCCAAAGCTATAAATTTTAAGAGACTCCCCATTTTTATCCAAGGGGTCCCTGTTGGATTCCAGCCACCACAGAGGTACCACCTCTGAGCTGGCAGCACATCTCTGTGTGGACTATGCCATCAGCGCTCCATTTATCTCACCAGTCAGTACAGCTCAACTTAGGTCAACTTAATACCATCGAGTCAGAGCCTACTCAGATCTGATCCAGCAGGTTTTTGAGAGCTGTACATCGGACAGGAGGTCACTGTCCATCACCACCAGAGAAGCGTAGTCCTGGGCTTAGCAGTGCAATTCTCTGTGCAGTATGCCACCAGAGTGCCCCATGCCAACACTTCTTGCTGTTCAGTGCCATCCAATCAATAGCTATGCTGTTCATAGCAACCCTATGAACAACAGATCTGAACCCTGTCCTATCCTGTGCCATCATCATTTCTGACATACATGAGCTTATTGCTATTGTCATTACATCAGTCCATCTCACTGAAGGTCTTGCTCTCTTTCGCCGACCCTCCACCTTGCCAAGTATGATGTCCCTTTCCTAGAAAGAGCCTCTCCTCTAGCAACATGCCCAAAGTATGTGAGAAAAAACGTCACCATCATTGACTCTAAGGAGCACTCTGGTTACACTTCCTCCAAGATATAGATATTTATTCTTTCGGCAGTCCGTATGATATTCCTCTCCAACAACACAGCTCAAAGGCATCAATTCTTCTTCTGTGTTCCCTATTAACTGTCCAGCTCTCAGATCCATAGCACCTTATAGAAAAGACCATGGCCAGGATCAAATGCACCTTAGTCTTTGAACCACCCCTACCACCCGGCTGGCTCTCTCTCTATAGCCTGCTCGCTCATTCTCTCTCGTCTCTCTCTCTCTCTCTCTCTCTCTCACACACACACACACTCACACACACTTCCTTCTCAACACTCATTTAACTCCAACCAAAGGCCAAGTGAAAAGAAAGGTGAGAGACAGAAATAAAAAAAGGTCCAAAGAGAAGGCTGCCAAGACATGGCGTGAATCACCTTTGCACCGCTCACAACAGGCTCCCTTCTGCTTGATGGCCAGGGCGCAGTCTCGAGACAACACTGGGCACTTTTCTCTCTTACAGGTCACTTCCTTGTTCTAGGCAAAAAGAAAACAAAAAGGCATTTGACATAAACTCCAAACAAATTCCAATATAAGATGGAGGTGTTCTTAGCCTCTCTCTCCCTACCTTCTCTTCATCTTGGCAAGAAAACTCCATGCTTTGGCAAGGAGGATTTTGCTCTCTCTGGCAAAAAGGTCTGGAAATACAGGACTTTTTGAGATAACCGAGAAGGGGGCTGGGCACTTCTTGTCTTTAAAAGCCAACTTAACCCAGATAACCGAATGCCAAGGGAGTAGTTTGCTCCCTCTCTGTTCTAAGGTTTCCTTTTTGTACACACTATAGAAACGATAATATTTGTCCAAATCATATTTCTGCCCATTGGGCTACCTGGGCCAGGACTGCATTGTGAGAACAAAAATATTTGCAGTCGGCTATCCAACAATCCTTAATAGTAAAGTGCATTAAAATGCAGCAATCTAAAGTTCCAACTCAAATACTGACAAAGCTGAGTATTGAATCGGCTCAGTAAGAGAAAAAATAATATTCCACCCGCCAAGCACAGACAGCCGTCAGTGTTTTACAGCCACGGGACAGCTGCGTTACATTAGCACTTATGCTAATGAAGCGTGGCGAGTATTTGCATCTTGGGTTTTATCCTGAAAGGTTAGCTGTTAAAATGTCTTAGGGAAGATGCAAACACTATGTATGTTCCTGTTTGTACACAGATTGTACGCACATGAACCAAAATATATGCCACAATGCTTCAGCAGGGGATAAGCCTTAATGAGTGCCTGCTCCACACGGGATGCTGTGGCTTTCATTCATATTAAAAGCCTCTGGGCCACATGCGAGTGGTATCTCTGCTTTACAAATGGGAAATTGCCGCTCTGAGAAGATCTGCAATTTTTCCACAGTGGCTCAGATTTGCTGTGATAGATGTAGAACTCAAGTGGAAGATATACATGCCCACTCACATTTGACTGGGGCTTCAGATGGTCTGGGAGCTCAGTGGCAAAGAATTGTGTGGCCAATACAAACGTGTGTGGTTCAGATCCACTAATTGTTCCACAGAATAAAGATGGGCAATCTCCTCCTGTGTGAGTAATTCCCTCTGAAAACCTGCTGGAGCCTCTGCTATGGGTTGGTTTTGATGCAACAGTACGTGACGACGACAACAATTACCTGGTGGCCTGATTCAGAGGCAGGGAAGGGAGGAAGGAATCTCCTAGGACAGCCTGAGATGAATCTCGTTATTCCCTTCCTGAAATATACACATTGCTGTCAAGCAGGAACCAACTCACAGCTGATCCTCTAGTCAGTTTCTAAGAGCGTCAGTCACATGGCAGGAGATGGCCCGGTCTTTCACCTGTGGATCTGCTGGTGGACTTGAACTGCCAGACAAGACCTGACCTTTGAGTTAGCATCACAACTCCCCATGGACTACACCACCAGAGCTCTCCCTCTGGAGCACGCACAGGAGAACCCCTACCTTGGGCTTCACACTGACCTTGGGGAACACTCTGGGGAGTTCCAAGGGTTCTGTAATGTCACAAGACTAAGTCAGTTCTCACTTTATCTGGGCCAGAATCAAGGGGGAGGTGTGTGGGAGGATGGGGTTTTGGGAACCCTCCAAAAGCATAATGCAGAGTTCAGTCCCCAGGCAGTTCTGGGGCAAAACATACCACGGCTGGTGTTGCATTCAAATTTGTCAGGAGCGTGAGAACCCTTAAATATGTCACCAAGGACTAATTTTAAAATTCATCCAAACTGTCTTCCTCCATCTAAAAGCTCAGAACCCCTGTGAGTCACCTCACACCACTGCTTCCTAGTCAACAGTCACAAGACCACAAGAGAGTTGTGAGTCCCTTCCCAACAGCTCGGCTCATAGAGTAATCTTATTTCACTGCCCTAATGGCTCTGGTGCCCTAATGGGTAAGGAGTTGCACTGCCCACCCAAAGGCAGGTGATTCAAATCCACATGTTGTTCCTCACCAAAAAGATGGGCTATCTCCTCTTACATGATTTACAGTCACTGAAAACTCACTGAAGGGCCAGCTATGGGTCAGTTCAGACTTGATTACAATGAATTAACTAATTGCTTTTGGAGAGGACAGCAGTAAGCAGAGGCGTCCCCTTCAGTGTTGGAGATCTGGGTTTGATTCCCAGCCAATGCACCCTAACCAGAGCCACCACGCACCTCTCTTCAGTGGAGGCCCCAGTTTTGCTATGATGCCGCACAGATTTCAGTGGAGCATCCACACTAAAGTAGAGCGGGAAGAAGGCTTTGGTGATCTACTTCTCAAAATCAGCCAATTTAAACTCAATCACAGCCCCTCACAGGGACGGGGGATGGTGCAGGACCTAGAAGCATTTGTCGCCTTGAGCATGAGGTTGACTGGTTAACAGCAATCAACAATGGCACCAAAGCTTCTTGGAGGTCAACCGGGGTGTGGGAATAACTAGTCAAATCATCCCGAGTGAGAGAAGTAGAACATGGCAATCTACGTAAGATGGGAATTTGTAACGAACACTGTTTCAGACCAGGGAAATCATTATAGGACCTGCCTGGCCGCTCAGAGGGAGGACTCGTGCCCTCAGTCACCTGCAGCCCACCCACAGGGCTCTAGCTGCTGCTGTTCTGCTTTTCTGTTATAGACTTCAGGGTGCAATGGGAGTATGTGATGCAACTAAAGTCATCCAAACTAAATGTTCCCCCCTCCCACCTTTCTTTTTCTTTTGGTGTCTGTTGTTGTTCACCGCCACCAATCCAGCGCCAATGCATCATGACCCCGAGCACGCTAGATCCCAGCACACTGCCCAGTCTTATACCATTCTCATTGCTGCTCATATGTTCAAAGTCATTGCTGTGGACACATGTACTGTGAGTGCCTTACAACCCGGGGGCCTCCTCTTCCAAGCTCTATTGGACACTATCCTCTTGTGATTCATGGGGTTTCACTGTCTAATATTCAGCAGTAGATTGCCAGCCTCTTCTTCTTAGTCCCCCTTAGTGTAGAAACTCTGCTACGACATGTCTACCACGTATGACCCTGGTGGCATTTGAAGTGTCAAAGAAGCAACTGCAAGGGACACAGAAACAGGCAAGCCACCACTGTACAACAGACAGACAAGTGGTGGATCCTGCGGCTGATAAATGTCCTTGCAGGAGTGACCTCATTCAGTCCTTATTTAGTCCTTAAAACCTTAGGAGACAGTTGTTCTTTCTCTGTTACAAATAATTTCTCCCCGACAGTCCTTCTCAAACAGAGGTCAGTATCCAGCCCGTGATGCTCTGACCTGCCGGGCCAGCCATGGGTGGTTTCTTCAGTCTCTGCAGGTATGTCCAGAGGTAAGAACCAGTGCTATATCTCATCCTCCGGGAGGTCGAGGCCAGTGCAACACCTGTCCTACATCCCTGAATCTGAGCAGGTCTAGAATCTGAGTGCTCGGGTTCCAAGTCCTCTAAGCTCGCCCCTCACTCTCTTCCAGTGCAGAGGCATAGGGCTCACTGGAAAGCAATGGCTCTTGGATGTATATTCATAATTGTCCTACATTACAAACATAATGCATCATTACAATCGCAACTGAAATTAAAGAGGTATAATTTTCAAAATCAAAAGCATCCTCTTCCCACTGCCAAAGCAACCAAGACGAACCATCTTGAGATGAGTTATGTCGCTTCCCTGGGTGGGCTCAGTCTGTGCTCAACCACTTAACCTAAACATTGATGGTTCAAACTCACCCAGCAGTGCCATGAGAAAAGCAATCCACTTTGGTAAAGATCACCAGTATCACAACCAAAACCAAACGTACCGCCCTCAAACTGATTCTGATTTACAGACAGATATCCTTCATGATGTTTCCAAGGCTGTCCATGTGGGCAGAGTCTGCCCCTCTTCCTCCAGAGGTGTAGCTGGTGCATTTGAACCTTCATCCTTAGGCCTGACATTTTACATGCTGTGCCTCCAGAGAATTATGTTTCTTTCCATAATACACAGGATCTCCATGAGTCAGAACTGGCGAGTTTGAAAAGTTTTATTTCTTCTGGTTTTGGTGGTTTGGGTTATATAAGTTACTTGGCACCATTAACTGTGGTTTAATTTTGCTCTAGTGTAGGGCATTATGTATCTGGCTGCTAACCGAAAGGTCGACAGTTCCAATCCATTAATCATTCCAGAGAAGAAAGATGGGCAGTCTCTTCCCACAGAGATTAACACCTCAGCAGCTCAATGGAGGGTCACTAAGAGTCAGAACTGAATGGCAGCGATGTGGGGTTGGGGGGCTTGGTAGTTCGGGTAAACGCTGTCTCCTACAAGCCATGTTTTGATATTTATTTCCCCTACCCCAGAGCACCTGTGAGGTGGCCTCACCTTCCAAGCTGAGCATCCACTGCCAGCTCTGTGTGTGGAGCAAACCTGTAAAGCCCTGGGGAGGCCACTCCCCAGAGCAGAACTCGGAGCTGGGGAGTGTGCAGTTCCACCGGCAGCTGGGATGATTATAAGTCAGACTTGGGGATCTGACAAATACAAAAACATCCACTGTCTTAAAAACATGAACTCTGCTAGATTAGAAATCTGGGAGCCAGTCAAAATCCATAACAGGATCCCAAGATTCATAATAAATAGCTTGTAATTACGGTCCAGCATAAAAGTTATTCCAACCAGATGGTCTGCAGATTCACATCTGGATTTGTGTGTGTGTGTGTGTGTGTGTGCACGCGTGCACATGCACACGTGCATGTACACACACAGAGGGAAAGAGAATAACCTCAACCTTAGCTCAAGGTTTAATAGGTTACCTTCCCAACTCACTTGTGATGACACTTGAGGTATTTTACATTTATTGGCACAGCACTGCCATATCAGATCATTCTGCTGGTGTCTGTCTGCTATGGACATGGAGGACATGCTTAGAAGCCCAGGTTTTCAAAGAAAGAAAGAGAAACTTAAAAAAATGGCTGGCAGGGAGGCAGTTCTCGCATCTCTTTGAGTCCAGCAGCTACAGAGTCAATTTAAACACAGGTTACTGAGGACCT